TGTGGTGCTGGAGGACTGAACCGCGGTCCCTGTGCTTTGCCAAGCTTGTTTCAAGTAGGTGCTTTAGACCACTGAGCCATCTCTCCAGCCCTAATTAAACTCTTTTCCTGCAAATTTGTGCTAGAGTTTTAATTTCCATTATTATTAAAGCTAGGGCCCACTCTAATTGCTAACATAATCATAAAAAATACCCAGTTGAGGGACATCATACAGAATGCCTAACCAGAACTACTCAAAATTATGAAAATCAACAAAAACAAGGGAAGTTGCCAGGTGTGGTGGTGCATGCCTGTAATCCCAGCACTCAGGAGATTGAGGCAGAAGGATTTCACTGGGTTCAAAACCAGCCTAGGCTACAGAGTGAGTTTAAGGCTAACCTGTACTACATAAGAAAATCCTGTCTCAAAAAACAAAAACAAAAAAGATGGGAAAGGTCTAAGAATTTGTCACAGCCAAGAGAAGCCTAAGGACACATGACAACTAAACAGAGTGTGATATACTGGATTGAATATTGGAATAGAAAATGCTCATTAGGGAAAGATTAAATCTTGATAAAGAATACAGTTTAGTTACAATAATGTATTAATATTGTTTAACTGTGACAAGGTGCTGTACTAATGTAAGATGACAAGAAGGGAAACTAGAGGGAGGTGGTGTGGAAACTGTAGAATCTTCATAATTTTTTTCTGTAGAGCCGGGGACCAGACTCAAAGTCTCTTGCACATGTAAAACAAGTACTCTGGGCTGGCCTGATAGCTCAGCAGACTAAAGTGCCTGCTTAGGCAGAGCACAGTGGCCAGGGTTCGATCCCTGGCTTGCCGTGCTGGCTCCAACCCCGGGGTACACTGAGCCGATGATGGAGACTGGGCATAGTGGCGTGCACCTGTAATCCCAGCACTTGGGAGGCTGAAAATAGGAGAATCACTACAAGTCCAATCTACGTAGTGAGTCCCTGTAGATCCTGTAGACCTGTCCTAAGTGCAGAAGAAAAAAAAAGTACACTACCACTGAGCAATACTCCCAACTCAGAATCTTCATAATTTTCCTAGAAACCTAAATCTATTCTAAAATTCGAAGGCTGTTTCTAAACATGCATAGGACTTTTGGCTCTAAAATTTTCCTAAAAATTTTATTCTAAAGAAGACTTGGAAATGGATGCAAATGTATTAAATGCAGGTAAACTTATTTCTTCAGTGGTAAAGAGACTTGAAAAAAAAATCTAGAACTGCTACTGCAGGGGTTAGGTAAGTTATGGTCCATCTCTGGGACAGAATACCTTACAGCCTTATAGAACTTTTGTTATAGAAAAAATAATGACATGAAAGTTACTGATTTATGACAGGGTGTATTTCTGTATGGCTGTTATATTTAATAAAAATGGGCTCAAAATGTAGTATAAATAATATCATATATAAAAAATTGAAACTGTTTTTGCATATGAATATGACCAGAATAAGCTATACAACATTCAAAATAGTTCCATTAGATGCCTACATTTCTATCCTGTTGCTTTTATGATTTTCAGGATTTTCTGTAACTGAAATGTACTATATAGAGTTAAAAGAGAAGCAACAGATAACTCAGGTTTTGTGCCACAGTGATTGAAAGAGTGATGATCAGTGATATCTGTACAGCTAGAGAAATCAAGACAAGCTTAAGAGGAGTAGCGGGATCTATGGCATAGGCCTCTGAATCCAGCGCTGGATCGGAGCTGGAAGGCTGAGGCAGGGGAGTTGTAAGGTTGAGCTCAGTCTGAGCACTTAGTGACTCAGCCCCGGGTACAATCTCAAGAATGAGAGGGCTGAAAGAGAGAAGAGGGGAGGGGAAAGAAGGAGAGAGAGGGAAGGGCAGGGGAGAGAAGGGGAAGAGAGGGGAGGGGAGGGGCTCAATGGGAAGATGATTGCTTTTATTTTCTATTTTGGGTGTGCTGAATTTGTGATTCCCACGGAGACAGAGCTGTTTAACAGGTGTCCATACCTATAAACCCTCTTTTCTGCTTAAAATTCTGCAATACTCATAAGCCCTCTTTTCTGCTTAAAATTCTGCAACACAAGGGCTGGCCAAATAGCTCAGCGGATTAAAGTGCCTGCAAGTAGGCCGGGGGCCAGGGGTTTGCAGATCCCTGAGCCTGCGATGCCAACCCCACCCCTGGAGTGTGCTGAGACGGCGATTGAGACTGGGCGTGGTGGTGTGCACCTGTAATCAACTCTTGGGAGGCTGTAAACAGGAGGATCACTACAAGTCTGATCTAGTAATGAGACCCTGAACACCCTGTAGACTCTTCCCTAAAACACACACACACACACACACACACACACACACACACAGAATAAATAAATAAATAAATAAATATAAATTCTGCAGCACAAATTATATCCATTCCTATAATGTCATTTGCTTCTGCTTTTGCTTTTGCTAATGTCTCCACTTACATCCACAACAAGCATTTCCAATTTAAGATGTCAAAATAAAGCTTAATCTCTCCATGGTGCCTGTCAAGCCCGCCCCTGTTCTCCTTTTCCCTGTTTGGGAAGCACCACCACTATCATGCACTCATCCAGGTGAAAAACTTCAAAATAATGTGCAATTCTTGATTCTCCCTATACCCATTTATTTAAATGCAAAGTCTCCTGAATTCCACTCCTTCAGGATCTTCAGGCCCATCCTCCCTTTTTCATTTTGTTAACTTCATTTGGCAGGTGGCATCTTACTGGTCTTCGCACTTTCAATATCTCCCCAGAAAAGCCATTCTCTACCCTGGTACTCCAGTTAGTT